ACACACACACACACACACACACATACACGCATACACACACGCATACACACACACACACGCACGCACACAAACACGCATACACACACACAAACACGCATACACACACACACAAACACACACACGCACGTGTACACGACGTACCAAAGACGAGGAAGGCGACGAGGACACAACCAAGATGCATGGCAGCCTCCAGGTGGCGCGAGATGGGCGCCAAGATGTTCACAGAGTAGATGGTGAACCATATGATGGCGGTCAGCTCGGTCAAGAGCAGCCAGACAAAGAGCTCGCGCGTGGCCCGCCAGAAACATGTGAGCTTGCCCGTGAAATGTGCGTCGCCTTCGTGAAATGTCGCCACCACCCACAGCAGCGCAACTGGCATCAAAGCACACAAGGGAACGCGTCCCGCAAGGCGACAGCATGACATGACGTTAGAGGAGCTCTCATGGTGCTGATAGCGATGCGATGTGATGTGCGGCGATGTGGTCAGGATCAAATACAGACAAGGACTAGCTCGACACAAAAACGTAATCGCACGCACTGAGGAAGCTGGTGGTGCAGATGACGAGGACGAAGCGCGACCGGGTGAACTTCCAGTCCTTCCAGATGGCAATGACGGTGAGCGGGATCGCGCAGGTGATGAGGCTGAACAGTGACATGGCCTTCTCTGCACGGAGAAGGTGCCCCGACTCCTCAACGTCGCACATGCTTGGTTTCTTGCGGCGACAAGCAACAGCGTACAGCTGGAAGAAGGACACCGCGTGTTGTGTTGTGTTGTGTTGTGTTGTGTTGTGTTGTGTTGTGTTGTGTGGTGTGGTGCATGTGTGGGCATGCATGTGTGTGTGTGTGAGTGTGTGTGTGTGTGTGTTAGATGAGCACAAGACAACAGCACCAACGCTCCTTTTGATTCATCCATCAACCAGTCTAGTGTCTCTGTTTGCGTGTGCGTGTGTGCGTCAATCACAGTCGTATGGTGCCGTTTGTGGCACTGGTGACTGACTGACCGGTGTGTCCGCTTGCGTGCGTGCTTGTGGCTACGAAACGAAAGGGAACCTCGTCGACGTGTGTCCGCTCGCCAGAGAGAGAAGAGGGGGGGAGGGAGAGGACAAACGAAACAACTCGCTGCGGACTGCAAACACACACGCACACACGCACACACACGCACACACACCAAACAAAACAGCGCGCTGCTGTGCTTGTGGGAGTGCTTGTGGTCCAGAGGGGACACGTTGCAAATTGTACATGGGTGTGTGAGTGCAATTGGCAACCACCAGCGTTTTGTTTGCATTTTCCACTGGAACGCGAGCAAGACAACCAACCAGCAAAGCAAAGCAAACAGCCAACACCCTTGTCGATCGATCGAGATGGCCACCGTCACCCCACGGGAAGACTTTGACGCAGAAGCCCTTGCTGCGGTACGTGTATGCTGTGCGTGCGTGCGTGCGTGTGTGTATGTGTGTGTGTGTGTGTGTGTGTGTGTGTGTGTGTGTGTGTGTGTGTGTGTGTGTGTGTGTGTGTGTGTGCTGTGTATGCTGTGTGTGTATGCTGTGTGTGTGTGTGTGGTGTGGTGTGTAGGTGTGTGTATGGTGTGTGTGTGTGTGTGGGTGCGTGTGGGTAGGTGTGTGTCGGTGTGTGTGTGTATTGCGGGCATTTTCGTTTCAGTCACTCGGTTGCCGACAACGACAGCATGCATTGTGACCTTCGTACCCACCGACACTCACACACACACACACACACATACCCGACGACCAGGATCTGCGCAAGGCGATGAAGGGCTTTGGCACGGATGAGGACACCATCATTGAGGTGCTGTGCAACACGACACACTTAGCACACTTGCTTGCGCGTTGCCTTTTTGCATGCTTCGTCCATGTCCTCGTCTCACCACCTGTGTATGTGTGCGTGCGTGCATGCGTGCGTGTGTGTGTCTATGTGTGTGTGTGTGTTTGCAACTTGGATGGCGCTTGTACAGATCTTGACCAGCGTCGACAATGCACAGCGTCAAGAGCTCCGTGCGGCCTTCAAAACCATGTATGGTCGCGATCTCGTCAAGGATCTCAAGTCTGGTACGCCCGGCATGGCTTTGCGGGTCGCGAGGAAAACGCACTGGTCAAGCAATGGCTTGCACGCAGCGTGGGACACTCGACTCGATTCCATTCCACCCATATCGAAACACTTACTCTCTCTCTCTCTCCCTCTTGCCACCCTTCTTGTCACTTGCCTTGTCTTGATCCTCCCTGTGAAACCTCCTCTCCCCTCTTTCACAGAGCTTGGAGGCAAGTTGGAGGATGCTGTGCGTGCAATGTTGCGCCCGCCGGCGGAGCTTGATGCCTGGGAGCTTCGCCAGGCCATGAAGGTGCGTGTGCTGGTGGTAATGGTTGTTGCTGTTGTTGTCGTTCTTGTAGTTGTTGTTGTTGTTGTTGTTGTTGTTGTTGTTGTTGTTGTTGTTGTTGTTGTTGTTGTCGCTGTTGTTGTCGCTGTTGTTGTTGTTGTCGTTGTTGTTGTTGTTGTTGTTGTTGTTGTTGTTGTTGTTGTTGTCGCTGTTGTTGTCGCTGTTGTTGTTGTTGTCGTTGTTGTTGTTGTTGTTGTCGCTGTTGTTGTTGTTGTTGTTGTCGCTGTTGTTGTTGTTGTTGTTGTTGTTGTTGTTGTTGTTGTTGTTGTTGTTGTTCTTCTTCTTCTTCTTCTTCTTTTTCTTCTTGTTCTTCTTCTTCTTCTTGTTCTTGTTATTGTTCTTGTTCTTATTCTTGTTGGTGGTGATGGTAACATGATTTGAACGTCAGGGCGCTGGCACGGACGAGGAGACGATTGCCGAGATCCTCGCCTCCCGCACCAACGAAGAGGTACAATAGCCCGCTCCGTGCTTGCATGCAAGCAAACCCAAACCAATGCGACAGCAAAGATCGCAGCATTATGACACCATGAACATCACCATGCTCAGTCATGTACATGCATGCTCACATGCATCTGTCCCTTATGCACTCCCCAAAGATTGCCGCCATCCGTGAGGCGTACAAGGAGAAGTTTGATGGCGACGATCTCGAAGAGGACATCATGTCCGAGACCGGCGGCCACCTCCGACGCATCTTCGTCTCCCTCGTCCAGGTGTGCATGCTTGAGTTGTGTGTGTGTGTGTGTGTGTGTGTGTGTCTGTGTGCGTGTGTGTGTGTGTGTGTGTGTGTGTGTGTGTGTGTGTGTGTGTGTGTGTCTTTCGCTGTGTCGACTTCCTTTCCCTCCCCTGTGTGGCCCGTCCCTAATGCTCACGCGATCCCGTGGACCAATCTACGCCAATCTCTTTTGTCAGGGCAACCGCGACGAGTCGGAAGAAGTGGACGAGGACAAGGCCCAGGCCGATGTGCGTTTGTGTCTTGCTTGCTGCCATGTCTTTGCTTCGCGTGCAGGACAAACAGCGCCGCGATCCCATGCAT